ACTCACGGTCCTCGAGGTCCGAGCACTGCTGGTTTTCCAACCTTCCTTTACCTGTCAGTCAAGTGTGAAGCCTCTGACCAATCAGAATCAGTAGTTATTAAACAACTACCTGGGAAAACTGAAAACACGGCCTGGATTTGGAATCAAGGTCCAGAGTTGAAGAACCCTGCACCTAGACTCTAGTGCTTTCCTGACTTGGCGATTGTTATAGTTCCCTAGTCCTTGTGCTCATTTAGGGTTTCCACTTCCACCTGTTTCTCATTGTTTCTGTTCCTGTTTTGATTGGTTAATTGGGTATTAGTTGCACCTGTTCCTTGTTTGCCCTGGTGTTCCTTGGTATTTAAGTGCTTGCCTTTGTTTTACTCCTTAGTGACTCATTGTCTTAATTTCTGTATATATTGTTCTGTGTTTGTTACTCTGCCTGTTTTTGGAGTTCTGTTCTCTGAATTACCTGTTTCCCTTTCTAGGTCATTTGTGGTTCTGTTAATTATTTTCCCCTGTTCTGACCCCTTGTGGTCCTTTTGTTTCATATTTTACCCCAGTGGGTTCTGTTTTCTTTAATAAACACCCTTTTGTCTTGGAGCCACTAGTGGATCGTCACCTTTTTTGCAGCGCCGCAACAGAAATATAGAATATACAAATAAAATAGCATGAAAGTGTGCACATAATAAATATGGGAAGATAGATGGACTTCACAAATGTACAATTAACAGTTGTCCTTCCGGAACATACCATGTTATAACACAACCATATGTATAGCAATTGGCAGTCTACTAAGGTTGTTTCTCTTATCATATGTAATTAGCCTGTCTGTTAGCATACTTGTTCAAGTCGTCCTTCACTGCACATTACAACAATAACTTTATCAAACAGTATATTGTTCCTGAGTAGCATATTAAAACCCCAATTATGATTAATAGGACACTTTAATTTGAACAGTTTAGATTAAAAACAAGACAAGAATCCATAAATAAACAAAGTGCATGACTGGATTGGAAATAAATTCTTTCAGTGCATTCTGACTTGAATAGAAATGACTGTGGAGCTTTAAAAGGCTGTTTTGTATGACTGAGAATATAGCAAGGGTACATACACTCAGCATACATTACTGTCAGCCTGTAAATCGTCACGCATAAATCAGAGCGAAGGTAAAATACATACAGCATGTGCTTTGTTACGTCCAGACGTGACAAAAAAAGAATGTGAAATAAATCAATATCTCTTTTTGAGACGTTATGGATTGTCAAAAAGCATGTGTAGCGTGAATGAGGCTTGCTGTAGGCCCTTGGGAGACAAATCGCCTGGGTTTGGTTTGGAGAAAAAGGCTGTACCCAGAAGCTTGAGTGCTGTATCTGCTGGCATATCTCCTAGCACATCTGCTAGCGTATATGCTAACGCTCCAGTCAAGGACATAGAGCTCATGGGCAGGTCTTTGTTGATTTGTCCTCGCTGGACTCATTAGGAATGAAAAGCCTTAGATGTCTGTGCTGAAAAAGGCTAACTTTGACTTTATTCACTTAATTAGCTTATAAATATTTGAAAACTGATTAGCATTTGAGTGGCACAGTGAGTAGTACTGCTGCCTCACACCTCCAGCGTCGGGGTTTTTAAATTCAATGCTCTTTGCCTGTGGAGTTTCCATGTTGCGTTCCTGTGCGTTTTCTCTGGCTATTCCAGTTTGATCCTACAAAGACATGCAGTTAGAATAACTGGTGTTTCCAGATAGCCCATGCAGTACAATTGTGTATGTGTACATGCCCTGCCTTATGCCCTATGCTGCCTGTGATAGATTCCAGGCTCCCCGTGTACAGACAGTTATCTATAATGTACTATAAATACCTTCATAATGCATTATACTGACCATTGTAATGCATTATGAAGGTATTTATGGTGCATTATGGGCGAGAGCTTCATCAAGCATTCATAATGCATTACAAACATGGCTTTTTATAAATATTTATAGCCATGCTTATAATACATTATGAATGCATCATAATGCATTATGAGGGTATATATAATGCATTTGTTTCACTGCCTTAAGTAAAGTGTTGCCAATAATAATTATACAGTAATAATAAAAGGCACTACATATGATATACTGCACCTCCAGCTGCCGAACCACTGAAGCTGCACAGTGTTTTCACAGTGTTGTGTCACAATGTAGTACGTGCATTCGTTATTACGAACTATTGCATTGAAAGCATTTTAAAAATCAGTTCCGAGTATGGTATGAAATTTAATTTTTGCTGCCAAAAAGAACTGTTCTATTAAAAGAACATGCATTTCTTAATTTTAAAATCCTTTTCGGCCAAAGCTAGCCAACATTTTGAGATTTGTTTGCTGAAAAAGCATATGCACGTCATGAATGCGCAAACAAAATGGAGGATGTGTACTATTCCATGGCTATGAGAGTGTATAGGTGTACCATGCCTTCTCGTATTTCGGCAGTGTTCCATGGTGTGTCATGGCTGCTCTTACACCGATATACTTATGGATTATAGATCAGCAGCAGTGCTGGCAGATTGCAGTATGGCCGCTTAAGTGGTATTGATCTACTCATTGTGCCAGTCCTCATTAGCATTAGCGCTATCTGCGTGCTGATGGGTGGACGAGTGAGGACAATCCACAAACAAGAGTGTGGTCCAGAGAGGATACTTCATTGCTTCCTTTCTTTCTAGAAATTTCTCATTGGTTGGGTTTGGTTTAAGTATCAATATCAATCATCAGCTGGCTGACTTGTTGCAGTGCATGGCTCTTTCCTCCACGCAGGCCATCTCTCATGTAGGATTTCAGATTATTTATGATTTATTGCAGTTTTTTGGGGCTTATCACACAGTGTACTCTGTTAACTGATAGCTCTGGTTTAGTGTGACAGATGCCCCCCACCCCAAAAGTATTTGGACTCCCATTGTCCTCATTGTCCTTGCACAGAAACACTGACTGCATCAGTAACGATGGCAGTAAATTTTTGGTGCAGCAAATTGGACCCAGCTGGGCCCTGTTCTGCTCCATCAAAGCTTGCACCAGTGCCCCACCATGAGTGCAGCCATGCCTGTTCTATACAGAGCCAGTGCCTCATACTGGCTGTCTATGGGCCATCAGCCCCCATCGCTGCCCTCGCTCCCCCTTGTGGTTGTGATCTTTCTGCAGAGTTCCTGCTGCCTCCGTGACGACTTGCCAGTCTGTTTGCTTCCCTCCTTTACATCTCATTCCACACTGAGTCATCCTTCTTGGGAGTGGCGAACCCCCCTCACTCGTCTGTCTTTGAAGTAGCTGCAGTGTTCTTCAACAAGTTTTTGCACGGATGTGAAGAAGTATATAGACTCTACTGTGGGATGTAAACTGGTGTCAAAATGTCAGGCATGCTTGAGTACTGCCAGCCAATGTGCGAATCCATGCTAACCCTAACCCTGTGCTGCCCTGTGCTTCACATGACTGTGCTGAGTATTTTTACATAGTGTATGAATCTGAGTGTCATGTATCTTTAACATCTATGTTATTAATATTCATTCTGTTTCCACATGCATGAACAATAATAAAGTCATACTAGGAATATGGATTGCCAAAAATTAGGCATTTCTAGTCTGCGCCAGCTTAAAGAATTCCTAGTTTAGCAGTTTCACAGGTAACGATAAATCTTTCTGTTCCACAATAACAGAAAATGTACTACTACTACTACTAATAATAATAAACAACCCCCACTGGTTCTTTCTAGTAACCACGTCCAAATCTTCATCTCTCTAAAGTCCTTCAGTTCGGTTATCCAATGTAGGATCATTACGAAGTGACAGCGCTACCCACTGTGTCACAGGGACTAATTCTTTATTTATATATGCCATAAAAGTTGTATGACTGCAATTTGTTATATTTGACTGAAGCAGGCAATCAGTTCTTGAAATGTGAAGCTCTGAAAGTATTAATTGTTTCACTTTCTAGTATCTATGAATTATGCAACAGAGAAATCATGTCGTATGCAAGGACTTTCACCCTCTGCTGCATTTTCAGGTTTTATTTTCTTTTTAAATCCCAGATAGTTATTTCAGACTAGCATCTTATTGATTTAAAGCAAAATGTTTTAATGTTGGAGATGAGTTTTTAAAAGGTTTCCTAACAGTGAGATGTGGGTCATTTTCAATCTATTCTGCAACTTAAAGTCCAAATTGAAAATCCATACAGGCATAATTAAAGCAGATCTAGAATAATCCTGAATCTTCTGATGCCATTTCTCATCTAGTTGTTTACAATTATGTGGTAAGGCAGGAGTGTTTTTCTAAAAGAGAGCTGCTATGGCAACATGTCTCTTGGTCTTGTAATGCCAAATTACTGTATTTGACAAGTTGTCAAACATTATGATGTGCTTTGCATATTATTTCTTGAAAAAATAAAATGTGTCAATGTCACTTTTTACTATGTTGTTACCCAGTTAACAGAACCAGTTAACAAGCTCCGTGGCACCTTATCAATGGATTTATTGAACATCATGGATTATTTTGCAAATGATGTCTTATGTAATAGCTTTATTATCATCAGGTTGTTAATTAGCCACCACGCTGCTAATACGAAAAGACAAAAGGTCTCTGTCACCTTCCTCCTTGGTTTTTGTAATAGTTCACAGCCATGGTCTCCAACCTTTCTTACAGTGCGAGCTACTTTTACAAAGAAAGTAATATAGGGAGCTACAAACTCACCACAGTATCTTTTTCCTTGGGGGGGGTGATAAAAGGTGTTGTGTCTTCCGTGCCTGGAAATGTCTTGTTGATTGACCTGTCGATCGCGATTGACCAGTTGGCGACCACTACTATGCAGGATGGGCTATTTACAGCCTCGAGTCTGTTGGGGACATTAAACCTGGCAGTAGGTTTTCTTGTTGTGCGTGTGAATGGAAGCGGATCAGACTGGCCAGGTGCTGGGCTTCTCCGATGTGGGGCACCACTTTGGAAGGACATGGCATTTATAACAGTATGTGTCCCTGTTTGCAACCCCCACCCTCCCACCCCCAGTGCACGTCAAAGCCGGCACCTGCGAGGTGATTGCCGCCCACCGCTGCTGTAACAAGAACAAGATTGAGGAGCGGTCCCAGACGGTCAAGTGCTCCTGTTTCCCTGGACAGGTTGCCGGGACGACCAGGGCCGCCCCTTCCTGTGTGGATGGTAAGGCCTTTTCATGCCCCCCATTACAGGGTGCTAGCCTGCTACGGCCATCACTTTTCATTACAAGCAGCCCTTCTAGTCTACACCGAAACACATTACATTTTAAAAGAACCAGAGTATGTTTGAAACACACTTATGTATTTATTGTGTTCTTTTCACACCAATGAACTTCAGGCTATGCGCAAGTTCTCAAATAGCCAATGAAAAAGGGGTGATGATAAACGTGGAATGCTTCTCTAAAGACAGGAACAGCTGGTTAAACAGCGTTTGACTGAAAATGATGTAGAAGCAGCTTCTTTAAAGACCATCTGAGTGGAAGGTTGATTGAATGTTACCATGACCATGGAAAGAATACCTGATTTACCACTTTTGTGACCTTTAATAATACAATATATACCTAACAGTTTGAAATGATCCTCATAACATGGTTAATGTGGTAACTCTAAAACAAAATATTGATGTGTGTACTTTTGAAAATTTGTTCAACTCTCCATGTGAAATTGCATTATCTCATTGGAGCAGTGCATCAGACCACTGTTGAAACACTACATTAGCTACAGAACTGAATGTCTTTGCCTTGTCCTGCAACTTGTCAGCTGTCAGTTTTAAATAGGAAATGATGCCAAGTTAGACAAACAGCCTTTATAGTGAAAAACAACTTGGCTGCTGTGTGTTTTGCATAGTGAATTTGAAATGGTAAATTGTTAGTGAACCACATAGTTTATTGTGCTTCTGTGATCAGATATTAACAGTTGTAATATTTATAGGAAAACATTTTAGGAGCTGCTGTATTTGTTATTTGTCATATGTGTTACTGTACCTTTAGGGAGGATATGGCTATATGCCTTATAGAATCACCACTCAGAAATTGGTCAGAGATGAGTAAAGTTCACATTAGCCACTACAACACTTGGAACTAAAATGCATCATTTGCTAACAGGGACAGGGGGCGCTGTAGTTCTTAAGGTCATACGTGTGGACTGGTAGCCTGGAAGTGTTTCTGCTTCGTGCTGCCGGATGAGCTATCATTTTTCATCACTAAGCATGAGCTTCAAATAAATTGCTCCCATTTAAATACCAACCTGTACTATCACTTACATATCAGTTATTACTCTGGCAAATTAGCAGCAGAAAAAATCAAATAGTACCAATCATAATCATTGAAGAAAATAACATTTTCTATTTGTTTTTTCTGGAATTTACAAAAGAATAATGGTTATTGTTCTATTCAATGTCGATGTAACTTAAAATGAAAAATGTACAGCTTTGCTTTGATATTGATTATAAAAACAAATGCTTAAGTTAATTTCTCCTGTGTGTCGACAACACAAAGCTCTTGTTTTTGAAATGATTTTGGATTGATTAAATTCACTGCTGTATCTCTTGTGGTTATATTCAGTTTGACTAGTATGAATGAGTGGTTTCAAATGTTTAACAATAATCTACCTAAACAGCAGTATGTTTTTACCTGTTTGGAGCAGGACTTTTTATTTGGCACTATTCACTTATCTGCTGAGGACAAGGTTTTGACGTCAACTATTTCAACAGGGAAGGCCGCTATTATGATACTGCTCCCACTCGCTTGTGTTGGCTACACATTGAAAGTAAATGATCTGAGTTTCTCTCCAGTCCTTCCCCTGCAAGTCAGTCTTCTAGCACAGCGTCTTTGACAGCATGTGCTTATTCCATTTCACTGGATTGTTCACCGTCATGACAGTTGACTAAGTGTTTGAAATTGATACCTTAGACAAGCAGTCTGTGTGGAAGAATGGAGTGTATCTACTACCAGTGTGTCCTGATCACAACTCTACCCCATACTTGTTTTGACAGACTTATTCAAAAAAGGAACACTTGTTCTTTTCTGCTGGCTGTGGGTGCATGTTGAGGAATAAAGAATAGATGGCTGTTTCCACAATGTCAGACATGATCTATAGATTGAAGATTTCTGCCTCTATGATCCTCTAACCTTCCCACCCCCTCCAGATTGATTGTTTCACCCAACATTTGATGACTTCTAGAGGTTATGTAGGTGAGCGTGCTAATCTCATATTGTTCACCTTTTGGCAGCCTCCATAGTTGCCCAGAAGTGGTGGTGCCAGATGCAGCCTTGCATGGATGGGGAAGAGTGTAAGGTTCTTCCGGATCTCAAGGGCTGGAGCTGCAGCACGGGAAACAAAGTCAAGACCACGAAGGTGTGTCCAAGCTCAACCTGTCATTCAACCTGTTCTAAAACCTAACATGGAAAGATGGGGGCTGGGTTGGGCGGAATCACTTGTACATTTTGGTTTGCTGGTAATAGGATGTTCAAGTGACTTTCTTAGTTGTCCATGTTACAGCAGAAAGCTACTCAGCTGCATATTTTATTGAAAGAATGAATGTAAAACAACCTGAGTGAAGAATATCAGGTTTCCTCCTGTGATCTGAACTGGCACCCTACGTGCCTGATTTTGTAACTGAGTTGTGGATCTATTTTATTTCAAACCTCATGGTCAGTCTGCTAGTGCCTGCAGTGATTTTGAGATTGTGGTATCACTGTTACCTACTGTACTTATACGTCACTGAAACTCTGGTCAGTCACATGCATGCCGTTGAGTTCCAGTTTTCCCTCAGTGGAGCCGTGTTTGTTATATCACAACATCTAAGGCTCAAGATCCTAACTTGCTTACATAAGAGGTGGGGAAAGAAGACGCCTTGTTGTGGTTTCAAGGCATTGGGCCACCGGGATGACATCAGCTAGCCTTTTTAGCAGAGCCAGACATGAGGCATTTGGACTAACCGCCACCCCCAATTCAAAAGCCTTGGATCCAACATCAAAACAACCCAGCAGAACGAAAGAACATTAAGAAGCAACTGGCAGAGAAGTGGTGGTAAATATTTGATCAGAGAGTAATGAGCCCGTACTTGATGAGATTAAATAAAGGTTCTGATTTTGGGGGGGCCACATGGCCCCTCCCGCGACCCCCTGGCGCGATGCCGTGGGCTCAGGGCCATCCGTCACAGCCAGCACTTGACTCACAAGTTCCCGCAGTTCAGCATCTCCTCCATTATTCATGCCGTGCCTGGCCGTGTGTGGCAAACCTTTTGTTTTACAGGGGTTAATAATTCAACGCTCCCTCACCGACCGTCCGGAAAAGGACCCAAACGTGGGGTGAATGACACCTTGGGTTTTATTTAGAATTCTCTTCACCTGTATCTACACCCCCAGCTCCCTGAAACCGCCACCCTTACCCCCACCCAGTGGGTACTCAGCATGGCCCGTGAGAAACAGAGACCTGGGAAAATCTTCACAGTGCTGAAGATGTGACCTGGCTCCTAATGACTGCAGATGGTGTGTCTTCGATAATGATCCCGCCGCCAGACGATGCCGGAGCAACATATTGCAACCTCCTTATCGAAAGCAATTGCTTTGGGATCACAGAACATTGAGGAGTTTGTCTGAGTAGGACGTGGAGGGATATGAAAGAACATGAATCAAACTATAAAAGATATGTTAAAAAATCTTCCATATCTATCACTGTATCCAGTCAATAACAAAAAAAACACTTGCTTTCTCGGTGTCTCTCTGGTATTTTTGTTTACATTTTTTTAATTTTGCTTTTGTCAAAGTGCTCCATTCCAGTTCAGCATGCCTTGTGTTTGTTTGTCCACCTTCAGCATCATGTAAATAATATTTACGCTACATCACCTTATGGATGGATTTCCACTGAAAACAGTCCATTGACATTAAATAAGAGGTCCAGACCAGGAGCCGAGCCTATTGTAGGTTTTCAAAGAGATCCATGACCCTTAGTAAATGTGAAGAAGTGGTGCATGGTGGGAGTGTGATTTGTGACACTAGGCCAAGATGGAGAGACCTTTGGGACCAAGTGTTTTTTTTGGACAATATTGTGTGAATGCACTGGCTGAATTTTTCTCTGCTAGAATGGCTGACCAAGTCATTTCAGGTTCTTCTGATTTGGTAGGGAGTGGGGGAGGGTTGGAAAGGTGGATGCTAGCAAATTATGTCAGAAATGATTTTCACCTGACCACAGGACTACTTGAAATACAGCAGGTGGTAAAGGTTTTATGCAAATGTCTGGACATAGTACATAGGCTTAATCCAAGCTGTGACATATGGCAGGTAGGTGTCTGATTTGGTGTTTTTCCTCACGAAATCCATAACTGTATTACTTCCCAGTGCAATATTGTACTAAAAATGCATTTACATTTACATTTTGTGAATATGACACATCAAGAGAAAGAAGTGAGATATTGGACTCCTTTTTTGTTTTATGAAAATGTGAAACTGGGTCCTGGTTTCCATCAGCCTTTTTCAGGCCTTATAAGATCGGGATAAATGCAAAACATCTTCATCCATATCCAAATGTTTGGAGCCCCATAATCCGTTCAGGTCTGTAATGATGTGCATTTGCGGTTGGGCCGTAGGAAGCACGGATATTCATTTTTATTGCTTCTTTTTTGGAATCCACTATAGTCAACATTCAGGTTTGGCATTAATCCACCACATTGATTTGGTTTTTATGTTACCATTAGCTTAGAGCTGTAAATTGAAATCAGCAGTACAGCTTTGATTGAAGGAGGAGCAATGAATCAATGGTATAATCAAAAGACCCTGTTCCGCTATTTGACATCATGGTAAGCGTCTGTGCACGTACAGCAAGCTACAAGATGGACACAGGAAGGCAGCTTTTTCATTTTTCATGTTCAGATAGAGCAAGGGATTCGATCAATGCCAAATAATATCATACGGCTGCCCTCACATCAGGTGGTTTTTGCTTGAAGTACCTCTCCCACAAATTGATCCCCAAAACATAAATAAAAAAAAAAAACATTGATCTATATTCTCCTCCACATGTGGAAACATGCGCACGGGGCTTTGATTTGGATTCTGAGCGTTGCCGGGCTGAACTGAGCTGACCAATCTAAAAGAATCATCCCATCTACAAACTTCTGTCAATCATGACGACATCGCAGTCGCGCACCTGCATGCACCAGCTCCATGATGTACAAGGAACCAATCAGATTTCATCAAACTGCGCAAAAAAAAAAATAGATATTATAAATATTAAGGCACTTCCTGCTATTGCTTTTTATTCCTTGAGCAGATTGCCCTGCTATCAAGTGAGTTCCATCTGGCCGGCATGTGTGTGTGTGTGTGTGTCTGTGTCTGTGTGTGCGTGTGTGTCGCCACGGTGACTGGTGTAATTCTGAAAACTGCTGCTATTGCTTTGGATTAGCTCTGAGCCGTGTGTGAGCGGGAGGAGCGGCTTAGCGAGGCACCGAATGTTCCCTGAGGGGATCGGGACACCTTGTCAGCATCTGTGCTGTCCGGTGGGGTACAGTGCCCCCTCCCTTCTCCACAACCAAGAGGGGTAACTCTAATATTGACATATTTAAGAACTGAAGCCACTTCCTTACAACACGCTGTTTTCTTTATACACAAGAGAATCTCCATTGCGGCTTCATAGCAGTTTTTTTCTGCTGTTCACCCAAAGAATGTACATTCATAAGGAATCATATTAATTGTGTTCCACAGTGCCAGAAAAGAATTGTATCTATTATTCTGCACATATTTATATAGCCAACAGCCTGTCCAGCTTCCTGTTAAAGTTTGAGTTCTGATGTTTGCCCGCACCTTCCGGTGAGGGTGAGTCAACCCCCACCCACCCCAACACACACCCCCCCCCTACACACACACACATACTCCATCTTCTGACACTTCCTGGTGACTGCGACCTCAAGGTGAAGATTAAACTGAGACTCCCCAAACAGCCACCCAGGCGGAGGTAACATCTGTCGCCCTTGTCTGCGGTCTCGCTCAAGTGTGTTTTCGCAAATGAAATGTGCTTTGGTGACAGCACTTGGAGGGGACGGCATGGCCGCACGCCAGGCAGGGAGAGACGCGGTGGGCTGCTGGTAATGACGCCTACAGCACTCCGGACTCGTCACCTCGTTTTTGGCTGAGACTCTCCTGCATATGCCAGTCAGTAAATGAATGACAGTGACTGGTGCCAACATTCACAGCGAAGCAACTTGGTGGTCCTACTGATCAAACCTTATGCTTTATCTTAAACATCATACTCATAATTGCATTTCATTAGGAATGCCAACAGAATTCTTCCCGGCTCTTAAGGACATAAGGAAAATGTCTTTTTGATGTGGTAATTATATAGACTGAGACACTTTTGTTGATGTGATATGAGAATGCCCTATCGCGTATTAACGTCCACCCCAAATATGTTCCAGTTTAACTCCAAGGAAAGCATTGTGTTCTGTTATTCGATTTGAAAGCTTTTAGGGAAATGCTATGAAAATTCCATTTTTTTGTTCCACCTGATCTTTCTGCAGTCACACTAATCTAGGTCCAAGATCTCGACAGAGGGTCGTACTCTGGGTAAATTTACCGGTATTGTAAAGGTGACCCTGATCAGCTATCATCAGTTGTATTTAATACCAGTTTGACAGTCTCAAGATACTGTCTCAACATAAGATATGTCAGCATTATTTATTTAGTTTTTATTGTGCTATTTGCGCTGAATGGTACATTGAAACCATCTTTGTGTTCTAAAAAGGAGTCTGAATTAATGTGAAATCATTGATTTTATTACTTGTGCATCCAAATAGCTTTTCTTACTTGTATTGGTGCTTGGAAATCATGGCATTATTTCCCAGAGAAATATGCAGTCAATTTCCCAACACCGCTGTTGCTGACATTTGTCCTTTTTGTTTTTCAGGTCACCCGATAGTCCCGGTGCGGAGGACCAGGACAGTTGTTGTTGGGCACATTTTATATATCTATCACAACCATCGGAAGAATGGATATGCACTCATGTCCCAGGTCAGACTAAGAGAACAGTGTTGACCTTCCAGAACAGCACTCCTGGTGTGCTGGACTAAATCAGAGGTGCAAAGACTAACCTGTATGGATTCAGGAACCTTAGGACCTGTAAACATGTAAAAGTGAACTTCTGAACTACCAGTCACCTCCAATATCTTGTCTTACATATCTTGGTCATTTGGCTTATTTCATACTATGGACTTGAATACCCACCGTTAAAGTCATTATTCAGTCAATGAGAAGCCAAGGGATTAGACACAAGCATCTTAAAGAAGAAATGAAGACTGCGCTGCATTTTTTTATTGCCCCAAATGCTGTAGATTGCCTACAGATGTACTTGTGTTTAAAGCTTACCTTATTTTTTTTCTATTTTTTGAAGCTTATATTATTTAAGTATACATTCCAATGAGGATTTTCTTTTTCACTGTGGGATTAAGTTGGAGTATCCGTGATTGATCTTAATTTCTTTACCGATCTTTATCTTTTTAGGAAGTCAGCAGAATACCAAGTAGATGTGACAATACATGATACACGTTGAAACGTAGTGTAAAAAAGGTTCACAGAATTGATCTAAATAAAGTAAGTTGAGCTTCGAAAAAAAATTTACTATCTGTTTTTAAAGGCAAAGTGGCTAATATTGAGTGAATGTGTCAGTATTATCTTAAATAAAATTCTATCAAAAAAAGTTATAAAGTTATACTTTATAAAGTTATTACTATTGAAATCAAACCCAGAAAGTCCATTTTCCTTTCTGTTTCCAGGCTTAATCTTCAAATGTTTAGTTTGATTTGAGTCAAGATTGTTGAGTGTTTTACATTTTTTTCCCATGTAATTGATTAGAAGAATCCAGAGAATAACTGGAAAATATGAATGAAGAAAGATGTGTGAAATGTTGCCAATGGGTTAAATATGTCTTAAAGGCCCCAAAAAACAGGTCATCCAAACTTTACCCCCAGCACCACCTATAACTTAATGTTATAGGCTTCTAAGTGCTGTTTAAAAATCACATTACAAGAGGACTCTTGTGCAGGAGGGTTTCCACAGAAGGCATCGCAGATCGTGTCAATGAGCAGTTCTGTCAGTTGCTGGGATAAAAGCAAATTGCAGTTAGTAGGATGACAAAGTTAGTGCTAACCTGTATATAATTATATATCTTTTGACAACAAGCTTTTTCAACATAAACTTACTGATATCAATCAACATTTATCCGACAGACTCACAAGATTATGTCTTCACCAGGTCAGATTTGGCTTTTATTATGATGCTGAAATGTCCATGCGCTATTATATTGTAATGTAACTTAATTACATATGTTACATAACCCAAAGCTCTGAAATATTTCAGCAGGTAGTGAATCAAGTCATGCATACACAGTACATATATTTCTTTAATTAATGGAAATTGTAAACTACTCATTTTTTGGTTAAAACTAAAAAAAAAAAAACACTTTTCACTCCATTAGTGAATTTATATTGAATTTTGTGAGAGAACACTATGTTCAAGGTCGTTTTTACTAATTAATTACATTTTAGGAGGAAATTTTATCTGTCCATAAGGACGCCTTGGAGAAATTCTGCAAATCGGCCACCCTTAGCCCTGCTTGAGTATTAACATCTCTCATTATAATTAAGTTTGAACTAATTCTATTAATTTAAAATCATGTAATAAACCATTGTATCCAAGATTTCTGGCAAGAAATACACTGCCCGTCCAAAAAAAAGGTCACCATTTGAATTTATATCAGCAAATACTTAAAAGCCAATGACTAGATCATTATTACAGTCCTGCAACGTTATGCAGCAATGGCCAGGTTACACCTCCATATGGCCAGGTTACACCTCCATCCATCATAAATGGATTTTTTCTTCCCTGTTGGCATGGGCATATTCCAGGACAAGAATGCCAAGATTCATTGGGTTTGAATTGTCAAAGAGTGGTTCAGGGAGCATGAGGAATCATTTTCACGCGTGACTTGGTCACCACAGAGTTGTGACCTTAACGTCATTTAAAGTCTCTGGGATGTGATGAAGGAGGCTTTATGGAGTGTTTCAACTCACTTGTCAATACAGGATCTTGGTGAGAAATGAATGCAAATCTGGATGAAAATAAAGGATGAGATGTTGCATAAGCTTGTGGAAAAAATGCGCCATAATCAAAGCTAAAGGCGGCCCAACAAAAAATTCAAATGGCGACTTTTTTTTTGGCCAGACAGTGTATAATCACTGTAATAATTAAACAATAATCACGGTATCACATTACTTAAACTGGACATTGTTTAA